TAAGAGTAAAGCGGAAGAGGTGTACGACGTGGAGGACATTGTGTCCAAACGGATCAACTCGGGTGTCGTCGAGTACTTCGTCAAGTGGTATAACTATCCTCCGGAGCAGAACACGTGGGAACCGATCTCGCACTTGTCGGGCAGCAAAGAGATGATCGACGAGTACGAGACCAAACACACCGGTGAGGCCGTTCAGGAGGTGTCCGACCTGATAGAGCCGGGCAATGGCTTTGACCACAACTGGCAGCCCATCAAAGTGTTTGGTGCCACCAAACGACCCATCGATGGCCGCCTCATGGTTATGATCCGATGGAAAGGCAATAAGTCTTCGTTCGAGTTCGCCGACGTCGCCAACAATCAGATCCCACATCTGGTGATCGCTTATTACGAGCAACGGATCCGATGGAAGACCGGCGACAAACTCGAGCGCAACACCTGTTATACCGATGACGAGCCCTTCCCCACCACTCCCATCACTGCCGATATCACCGCTCAGTAGTTGCGGTCGTGTTTGTCACCATCATTAGTATCATTGAAATCATTGTTAACTTTATCTTATATATACCTCTCATGTCATAAATGATTGGAAACGCACCGACCGTTCAGGTGATCCGCGAATCAGAATATTCTTCCTGTCATTCATTTCTATGTCTTCACGGTTTGCTTCACTCTATTATTATATATACTTTTTGAGCCATTAATCGCATGTTTTATCATTTCTTTGTTTCATTCAAAATTTGATTAATATATAAGACTTTTATATAAGTTTTTCTCATTTGAAATGTTGCTGTGATTTGTATATAATTTTCAAATTTGACTTAATATTTAAATAATTATTAATGACTTATATACTGTGACTTTGTTTACATTGTATGTTTAGTGAATCTAATCGTAAGCGTTTTAGTTATCAAATAAAGTATTTTTAGACAAATTATCGCTAATTTGATAACAAAAATTTGGTTTTGAGAGCAAAACGTCTTGAAAAGCAACAAAATTTAATATGTTTTAGTGTATTGTCTATAAATTGTTTACGAGTCAGTCTTATTTCACATCCTTATGAATACTTTAAGAGTATTTCTCAAAATTTGTAAAATAACAAGAACTTACAGAATTGGAATAAGCTATTGCGATATAGGCACTTATTTATACCGGTAGATATTTATGAATTTATGTTACTTTTTGAACAATATTTACGTTTATTTAAATAAGATCTGAAGCAAACAATTCCCAGTCGTATCTCATATGCCGTTCCCGTTCGTTAGGTGCACTCAAACATAAGTTTGTGTTATATTTGGTTTACATGCGATCCGTAGTTTAAATTTAAATTTTATTTTACATTCAGTTACTTTAACAAAACTTATAATTTGATTATTTAAATATATTGTAAATATAATATACTGTATAATGAGTTCATGCGTTTGATTATATCATATGATTTGACAATTAACTAAAATGTTTAATCAAAACGAGTTTTAAAACAACGATTAAAAGTAATAAATTGTTTTCTCTAATAAATATAAAGCGAATGAAAAAACATTTTTTCGCATTTCTTGAACAGTAGTTATATTAATGTTTGCTTTGAAGGCGAGAAATATATCATAATATTTGAGATTATTATTGAAAAACTATCGCAACAACAGTTCAGAATCAGAGATTAAGTTTAAAGATATATTTTTATATGAATTTTGAAAACTTGAAAACCTTTGGAAAATATTTTTTCAATTTATCTTTTTATCGATTATTCATTCAAATACAGTATAATATTATAATGAAATATTCAGTGATGCCAAATGGGGATCAAAATACTCTACAATATTATCAATTCTTTAAAAATATATGGCATTCAGTATATCATCGTTTCCCGCAAATTATCCTAAAGGCTAAGAGTCCCAAAGAGTGGTATATCCCTTAAAAACATTAGTCACAATAGACCCTAAATCTCTGGACATCTCTGTTTATATACACTATATTTGATATTCTGTACATTTTCTGTATATTTATTTACTATTAATATTAGTTGACTTTTCGAGTTAACCAGAATTTTAAATCTAAATAATCAGAAAAATATATTTCATTTCAATAATCGATAAAATGTGTGAAAAACGAAACAAGAATTTACATTTGGTTTCATTGAAAAACATTAAAATTTTAAATTATTTTCGCTCATAACAAAGCATTATCAGGCGGTGAAAGTGGTGTCAAAAACTTTTTTCCATATATTAAATGAAATTCATTCAGATTTAAAGCCTATAAATCGTTTTGAATGCAAATGGTTTGCATTTCAATGGCTTTATTGTTGGGAATTGAGTTTAATTCAGACGAAGACTTTCTTCTGGTTCGACGACAATCGACCGACAAATTGCCGTTTTTGGCACTCTTTGGGCTCTGTTTTCGCAAATGATTGGTTACTAGTATATTGTGCGGAACCAAGAGGTGATTACTTTGACTATTGCCGTTTGGCAGATGCTTGTGGTGTATGAGATCGACACTCCTTTTCTTATTGACGAAAATGTTTGAATTGTTGATAAACTCGATGTCCGTCTGAGAGCTATATCTGGTGTCCTCGCAATTGGACGTGTATTCTTCAATTTGGTTAATGTATTCCGTTTTATGGCATCGATTAGCGCACCGACACCTACGGAACGTCTCCGTCAACGTCTTCACTAAATTCTTATTAAAGAATAACACAATCCATGGATTGACACCTGAAACAGATTGGGATTAAAATATTAGATCATTTATAAGACTCGGAATTAGTGATAGTATAGGTTATTGAGAGACACTTACAGCTATTAAGACTAGGCATCAGCATAAAGATGGTTATGAGTGGACCTAAAAAGCAGAGATAAAACGAGAATTAGATTAAAGAATCGCTTTTGGATTGGATTTCACTAATAATAGACTCGATTGCAGTACTCAGTCGGCAAAAGTGCATTACATCTCAACACACAATACAATCGCTTTAAGCTATGATACACTTTTGGTTTATTAAGAAATAAGTTTGCTTTTCCTTTCAGTCTATGTATGTTTGGCCCTCTATTTTATGGATTATATTTTCGCGACACAAGACTCGGAATTTGTGAGAGATTTATATCGATTGATGTAAACCAGAGAAAACTTCTTTTAACTTTTAATTGAGCCAAATATTTGAAAAATTTAATCAAACGTTTGAATACAAGTTCAGAGTATTTTCAAAGAAAATTTAAGAGATTATAAAATATTTTTTCAAAATGTCAAGAATTGCTTTGGATTAGTGATCGCCTTAAATATCACTTTCACTTTCATGGCTCAAAATTCTTTAAAAACAATTCTGTTGAACAGTAATTGAATTCATTTGAGAAACAATTTTGTTGTTAAATTAAATGTCAATAAAACTAAATTTGAATTTATATGTTAAGATTTATTCTAATTATTAGATTAACTTAATATTTACTTAAAATTCGACATTTAATGCCATCAAAAAGCTCTTACATGCAATCAATTTAAATATTGGGTTATTTTCCTAATATATTATACAATGCCTCACAAGAATNTTACATGCAATCAATTTAAATATTGGGTTATTTTCCTAATATATTATACAATGCCTCACAAGAATATAACACTAAATGTAAATATTTACATTTAAATAAACTCTCACTAAAGCCATTAATTAATTTAAATTATTTGTCTTTTATAGTCATACATGCGAAATAATGAAAATTGTGATTTAGCTAGTTATATTATTAATATTTATGTATTAATCAAAATATAATAATTATTACATACCATTGATTCTATCATTTTATTTACAAGAATTAATAATTATTCAGTACACTATTTGTAGATATTACTTGCTCAGTATAAAATAAATCTGTTGTATTTGATCAATAAAGTTAGATTACGAAATTGGTTGTTGTTATTTGTGAAACGTGTGCACACAAAATATTTACTGATTATTAAATGATCAAACGATTATCAAACAAAACCGAAAAACAATCTTAGATTATTTGTCACCGACTAACTAAAAACATATTTATAAATCAAATTGTTATTTCCCCTACTGCGGGCAAATTTTAATTAAATAGTTTTTGTCATATAGTAGACAACGTAGGTGTGCCTATCATTTGAGTGATAAATTTAATATTAATAACTAAATGCCAAATATATTGATTATCAAATCCCGTGAGTGAAATGCTTGAAATATTTTCAAAATACTTGATGTTATTTTCATATAAACGATAAAAGGGTAAAAAATCGATTAAATATTGTGCAAAACTCTTAAGCTTTCGTGGGTTTTAAAAATGGTCAGTAAATTATCTGACAGATAAATTATATATCTTTCTCTAAAATGCGAAAAAAGTAAATTTTGTTCAAAATTCTTTAAAAACAATTCTGTTGAACAGTAATTGAATTCATTTGAGAAACAATTTTGTTGTTAAATTAAATGTCAATAAAACTAAATTTGAATTTATATGTTAAGATTTATTCTAATTATTAGATTAACTTAATATTTACTTAAAATTCGACATTTAATGCCATCAAAAAGCTCTTACATGCAATCAATTTAAATATTGGGTTATTTTCCTAATATATTATACAATGCCTCACAAGAATATAACACTAAATGTAAATATTTACATTTAAATAAACTCTCACTAAA